GCATCATTTGAGACAGTGGGAACATAACAGTGAAGACAGACAAGGTCACCATGGTAGGCAGAATATTGGCCCCCAGAGATGTCTGCGCACTACTCTCCCAGAGCCTGAGAATAGTTTTGCCTTATATGGCAAAAGAGACTTTGCAGATGTGAGAGTACAGACTTTGAGAAGAAATTATCCTGTATTATCCAGGTGGGCCTAATCTAATCATGTGGGTTCTTAAAATCTGAGAACCTTTCCAAGCTGGGAGAAAGAGGAGACAACAAAAAGGGACAGACTGAAAATGTGAGAGGGATGCAATCTGCTGTTTCTGGCTTTAGAGGGAAAACAGCCCTGTCAACACTTTCATTTTAGTACAGTGAGACCTGTGTCAGATTTCTGATCTCCAGAACTGAAAGATAATAGGTTTTGTGTTGTTTCAAAGCCACTCTATTTGTGGTAACTTGTCACAGCAGCAGTACAAAACTAATACAATTCCAAATTTCTTTGTGTTTGTATTCTAGTGGAAATAACAAATATATATACACATACAAAAGAGTATTTACACATTATAATGAATAAGACTATAATAGGCACATCTGAAAACTTTTTAATGCTTTCAGAATGCTCCAATGCATGAATTTTGGTGATAGACAAAGATTAGCTCCCCCTGTAGGAGTTATCTGTCTCCTTTCCAGCTAGAGAACAGACATTTGTCCCTGGGTTCCACTGATTAGATATGGCCATGCTATTAATAGAATTTGAATCAGAAGCCAGTGATGTAAAAGCAAAGGATAGTTCAGGTAATTTCTCTTTTTCCCTCTTTCCCTCCATTCTTTTACCTTCCTCCTTCACTCCCTCTCCCTTTTTCTCTCTCTCTACCTATCGATCTCTCTCTCCTGTAATAGCTGGGGCTACAAGATAATACATGGCACAAAAGAGCCAACTTGTCCTTGGTAGCTAGAGTTATTCCTTCACCAGATCTGTTCTGTAATATAGTTTTGGATGTTATTCTGAAAACTTAGTCCAAGCCTAACTCTCTAGCCCTCTCAACAATACAGTAAACCACAAAATATCCTTTTATTAATTTCTTTTTCTTCTTAACCAACCAAAGTCATCTTTGATTTCTTACAACTGAAGGCCCTGATGAAAACAGACAGCAATGAAAAAATATCAACTTTGGACACTGTGGTCAAGGAGGTCTCTTTTAGAAGATGAGATTTGGACTGCGGGAGGAAGAATGTGAAGGAACAAGTAATATGAACAGTGGGGGAAAAGCACTCAGGCTAAAGAAGTGCAAAAACTACTGTACTGGAGCTGGGGGTCCAGAGAGCAAGGCTAATAAGACCCTTGCCTTCATGCCATTTACCTCTGGTTGAGGGGGGGGGGGGTTTAGAAAATTAAAGGTAGGTAAATGATAGATAACATAATTTCAGATAGTGATACGTGTTATAAAGAAATAAAAGAGAGAGTTGTAGGGTGCAGGTAAGGGACTATTTTGGATAGAGTGGGCAGGAAAGACCTTTCTGAGGTGACATTACATAGAGACATAAGAGATTTATGACTTAGAGAAAGTCCTTCGGGTACACTATTGGGACACTTTGCTCAGGGAAGTGAACTTCCTAAGAGTTCTTCTAACAAAAACAAATATTGTAGGGTCATCTCTGCCAAGGTTAGAAATATTGGGAGTATCTAACAAATGTCCCTAGAGGCACAGATTTTTAAATAGCAGTTGTGATCATCTTTATAATGATGTTCTCAACCTTGAACTTGCCAAATACACAAGACCATTTTTTTAGGGAGATAATGCCTTACATTATGAACATTCTTTCACATTCACAAATTGGCTTACATTTTGTCTTAGATGGTTGCCATGTGAACAAGTACTAAAAACAAAATAAAGGAGACAAAGGCAATTTTGGTTCTTCATCACTTTCTGAGAACCTCTTCTGGTTTGATGGACTAGGCTGTCGACAATGGAACGAAGCCAGCATTAACAGGAAGAAACCTCAGCTTCAAGCAACAGTCTTCCAAAATAATCTATCTGTAGGTGGAAGTTGCTGATTTTATGTGAGCATGAAAAATTAATTATCAATGAAAAGGTATTTACTTCTTTTAGAGTTCACATATTTATTGACAAATGAATGTTTTTATCTCCCCAGAGGAAAGAACCATTTCTAAAATTGTTTAATCAACTTACTGACCTGAATCAAAGCTTTGGTGGAAAAAAGGAATGTATTTTCTCAGATAGATCCCAGAAAAGATAGGGCAGGTGGGTTTTTGGTATGTTTGTTTTTCAGTAGAGCAGTTATCTGAAATATCTTTTTCTCTGAAAATCAAAAAATTATTCCAGTAAAATACAAACAGACTCACTGGTAAATATGACAAATTGGACACATACATCTACTTTTACTTTCTTCTCAAACCCCAGAAATGGCAATAAAAGGCATTTTTAGGAAGTGCAAATCAGTAAGAACAGAAAGAACAGAAGAGCAGAACAAAACAAAGAAGCAAGCAAACGAACAACCTGGAGAATGGAAAGCAAATGAATGAGTGGTAAAAAAGAATGTAACAGACATGAGAATAGGAAACACAAAGCCAAAAAGTGGAAAGCTGTGGACTAACCCAATTTTACACCAGAGACTGCACAAGGTTCTAGGAAGGAGGGCATGGGGGTAGGTAAAATAGAAAGACTGAATGAAAGTCAAAAAAAATCAGTCAGATCCGTCAATGACGTGCTCTCCATTTCCCAGCATCCAGGCAATCACCACCCTTTTCTCCACCCCCTAACACCCTGGCGTTAGCAGAGGATTGGAGATCTAGTGTCCGGGGAAGGTTAAACACAGGGTCTTTTGGCTGGGTTGGGGTTGAAAGTGAGGATAGGATAGGATACTGAAAGCAGGAAAAATAATACACGTTAAATGCCGAAAACCCTACTCCTCTTAGTTATTCAGCTTTCAGAATAGTTGAGAAATTTTTACCCTCAACCTGGAGTTTGGAAGTTCCGTCTTCACAGGGTCTGAGTAGCTAAAAAAAAAAAAAGGTTTAAAGGTATTGGCCTTTGCTTCCGGGGCAGAGGTCACCATGGCCTCCACCTTGGCTCCACCTGGTTTCTGGTCTGCTAAGCAGGTTCTGGTCCAATTCTGCCCCTTTGAGAAGAATGCAGAGTCCACGAAGACCTTCCTCCAGGCCAGGAGAGGCGAGAAAGTCGACTCCACCAATCTCAGCTGCTTGGCAACTGCGACATGAGGCACGACGGCTCTGAGACTCCCATGGACGGATGTGCTCTTTGGAGAAGGGCGTCGCTTGGTCATGGGTGGCGCCACCTCACCGCTCCGGAAATGCTCCCTGCCTTCGCCTCTCACATCCGTCCAGGGTCACTGCGGGTAGTGGGGACCGGCTGGGCACTGATAGCGCCGAAGAGACTCTCAAGCAGATTTTAGCTGGGACTAGGACACTTATCTAAGAAGAGCTTGACTTAATCATTCAAATCACTATCTGGAAGGCTACAGAGTGCAAAGCAAAAAACAAAACAAAGAACAAACCCGCGAGGCGTGTGGACAAACTTGAATTTATTTCACTTTCTTACCGTCACTTACTGCTTAATCCTGTTGAATTGGGCTTCTCTCACACTCACTCAAGGTCTCTTTTCTCGGTCCTTATCTTTCTATCTCAGTAGCATCTGCTGCTCTTAATTCACCCCCTTGTGGAAACTTTCTCCCTCCAGGATCCTTTTTCTTAACCGTAAAGGTGCCCTATCCTAATCCTTTTTCTTCTCTCATTTTTTCCGACGCAGCTCATCTTCTGTCATAATTTGAACTGCCCTCCCTGGGATTAAACCCTGTATTTCTCTTTGGGTTCTAATCCCAGCTTCTTCTTTTTTCCCCCCACCCTCCTCGGGCAACACCTAATTTTAGAAAATAGAATGAATGTTCCTGAATCTCAACTTCTGTGCTATAGTCAGCGTACCTACTAACAATTTCCTCCAAATCTCCACCTCCCACCAACACTTTGTCTAAATTATGATTGATAATCTTATATACACATATACTTACCCCCGCACTTCCCTATTCCTTTTATTTTTATTTTTTTATTACCCCTCCCCCTCACCATTCCTTTTAAAGGCACTTGGTCTGCCCATCCACCTATGCTGGAAACCACAGTATTCTCTCTAGTTCTGCCCTGTCCCTTTCTCTGAATATCTAGTCAGTCAGTTCAGAATATTCTGTCTTTTAAAAACTCCTGAAATGATCTCTTCATTCCCATTCACTCTTCTCTATCATTACTGCATTCTCCCACGCAGTCTTTTTCCAAATTATTTTTGCTTCTGCTTAATTTTACTCTTCCAAAGCACATGATTGGTTTTATCTCCCACTACTACCTGTTTTAGAAAACAGTGCCTAGAGTGTTCAATATCCATTGATGTGAGTAATGAAATCAACTTAGGGGGTTACATCAGCATTTTTTAAAAAAATTAAAATAGAATAAAAATTATCAGAGTGCATGGCACATGGAAAAAAACACACTGGCATTCTAGGCTCCTCAACTAAACAGCCAAGCCAGATAACCCTAACGTTAAAAAGTGGTTGGAGAAGGTACTTCCCCACCCCAGCCCCAATACTCCTACACACTCACACACACACACACACACACACACATACACACACTCAAACAGACTCACTCAGAGATGCCTAATGTCTTTTTTATTTGAGGGAAATGTTTAACTTGAGGGGTAAAAGGACCAAAATAAGCAACAGATAAAAGCAGCTTCTAAGAAACACATGCCCTACATGGAAAAGAAAACTCCAAAAACAAAATAAAACGTAAGTCATATCCTCAGAAAGGTTAAAAAAAAAGATATTACAATCATGAAACAAGAATAGGATACTATGATAAATGAGAATATTCAGAAAACAAAACAAGCTATTGAATTTTTTAAAAATATATATGTGATAGCAGTAATGAAAAACAGATTAGAAGGTGTCATAGTCCATTTTGTGCTGGTATAACAGAACACCACAGACAAGGTAATTTATAATCAATAGAAGTTTATTTGGCTCACTGAAGGCTGGGAAGTCCAAGATTGAAGGGATGCATCTGGTTAGGGCCTTCTTGCTACATCATTCATGGTTGAAGAGCAGAATGGCATAAGAGCATGTGAAAAGAAAAGAAGGGAATCAAACTCATCTTTTCATCAGGAACCCACTCCTGAGATAACTAACCCACTCATTAATTAATCCATTCATGAAAGCAGAGCCCTCATGACCTAATCAATTAGAGGTCCTACTTCTCTACATGGTTGCATTGGGGATTAAGTTTCCAAAACATAAACTTTGGGGGACACATTCAAACTATAGCAGAAGGATTGGAAGGTAAAAATTTATGAAGAAATTTCCCAGAGAGTAGAATAGAAACACAGAGACATAGAATATTAAAAAATAGATTAAGAAATAACTAGCCTAGGAGATCCAAAATCCAAATAATGGGAATCTCAGAAATAGGTAAAAAATGTGGGGGGTTGCGGATGTATTAGTCTTCTATTGCTGTTTGATAAATTATCACAAACTTGGTACTTAAGACAACATATATTTATTATTCCACAGTTTCCATGGGCCAGAATTCAAAGTACACTTTACCTGGATCTTCCGTTTAGGGTCTCAGAAGGCTGCATTCAAGGAGTTGGCAAGGACTGGGGTCTTCTCAGGGTTCACTTCTAAATTCATGCATTTGTTGGCAGAATTCATTTCTTTGCAGCTTTAGAACCCTTGGTAGCTTTCTTTTTCAAGGCCAGCAAAAGAGAGAGAGAGAAAAGGAGATAGAGACTCTCACTTCTTTACTGTCTTTTAAAAGCCTCACCAGTCCAAGTCAGGCCCACCCAAGATAATCTGTCTTTTGATTAACTAACTTGAAATAAACTGATTAGGGGCCTGTAAAATTCCTTCGCCTTTGTCACATAACATAATACAATCATGGGAGTGCTGTTTCATCACCGTTGCCATATTCTGTTGGTTAGAAGCAAGCTCAAAGTTCCACTCATACTCAAGGAGAGGAATTCCTATACAGACATGTATACCAGGAGGTGGAACTCATGGGCCATCTTAGAATTCTGAGAAGGGAAGCCAATCACTAAAGAAAGATCAGACAATTGATCAGATCTGAAACACATGATTTTCCAGATTAAAAGAACTCACTGAATGCCAGCATAATAATGAAAATAGATCCACTCCAGACTTTGAAAAAACTGTTAGTCACAAGAGCATCTGATAAACTTTCAGAGGGGCATGTCACAAAACAAAGGATTAGAGATGAAAATGGCATTGTATTTCTAAATGCAATGGAACAATGCCTTCAAAATCATGAAGTAAAATGATTTCTGACTTTAATTACGTTTTTTTTAAGTTTTATTTTTCATAGAGATGGGGTCTCACTATGTTGCCCAGGCTGGTCTCCAACTCCTGGCCTCAAGTGATCCTCAGCCTTCCAGAGTACTGGGATTATAGGAGTGAGATAATGTACACAGCTTCCACACTTGAATTTTATACTTAGAAAAACTACCAATCTAATTTTAGGATAAAATAAAGACATTTTCATGTGTAAGATCTCAACTATTGCCCATGTACCTTTACTCAGAAGAGTGCCTAAGGATTTGCTGCATCAAAAAGGTGAAAAATACAAGAAGACAAATAAAACAGGAGAATTAACATAGGTATAAGGCAAAGGGAATCCCAAGATGATGGTAAAGAAGAGCCCAAACAATTATTGTGCAGGGTTGAGAAAGCAACATACCCAGGATTGGGTTAGTGAGAGACTTCAAGAAAGATTTCTTCTGCAAGATGAAATTGAGAATAGAGAATGAAATTGATAGAATACATACTGCATCTTAATATATTTGTGAGAAATTTAGACAATTGACCAAGAATCGGGGCTTGAATTAGTGGTAAATAAGTTAGGAAAAACCAAGAAAATAACAATATAAAGTGATTAAATGAAAAAGTTGTGCAGTAAAGGGAAAGAAATCCGGGTTGACTACATGACACAGCTATGTTTACTACATGGTACAGCTACATACATGACACATGAAGAATGTTTACATAGTCATAATAATGTAAACATTAAATTGGGGAATAAATATATGGAGAATAAAGGAATAATTAGGTTGTGTGTATGTTTTAGAGACATAATGAGGGAAGTGAGCTAGATCTTCAACTTCTATTTCAATAGAGCAATAGATAACACTAAAACTGTCAAAAAAAAAAAAAGGAGGCTATGCAAGCATGCCATTTGGAAGGTAAATATCAAAAATCAGCCAAAAATGGTGAAAAGGAAGTGCTCCTGAGGAAAAGGGAATGGAATAGGAAGAGAGGTAGAAGACTGCCATTTTCCTATAATAAGGTTTATATATTTATTTTACATTTTTAAATATGCAAATATAACTCTGATGCAAAACACAAAAGAAATGAAGAAATGACTAAATAAAGCAATTATCTAGATAACTGGTTTATTTTTTTATACTTGATATATTGACTATTATATAAGTTCACTATAATGTTCATTTTGTTGTTATGTTTTAAAATCAAGTTTACTTGAACTTAGACATCAAATGAATGGTTTTTTTCAAAGCTTTCCCCTTAAGAAGTTGGGCACTTAGTTCAAAGTTGTTGCAACTACCTGAAATATTTTTGGAGCTGTCTGCAGAATTTCAAAGCCTGCAAACTTCTTTAAATAACTTTACAGGTGTCAATTCATGAATTTAACATTTTAAAAGAATCAGAAATCATTTGGAATCACATTAGATTTCAGTAGTCAAACGTCATAAAGCTATTTTGGATAAAAATCAAGGTATGAAAATAAAATAATACAAGTTACTTTGGGGGGGTGGCTTAAGATTTAGTTGTAAAGATGAATTTAAAAGGGGAAAGGATTCCAAAAATATTTAGTCTTTGAAGCATAATTATTACAATATATGTATGAGGCTACATTTTTAGGAAAGTATTCTCACAAGAAAAGTTAAGAATATTCTGTATGAAGCACACAAACAAACAAAATTCAATTTATATTAGATTCTTGCAGAAGTGATTTTAGGGGGAAAATGCCAAATGAGCTAATATTGCTTACATGTGGTAGGTGCCCCTCTTCTAAATCCACATAGGATTGATCTACCCACTGAAATTAGCAAAGCACCTTGCATACATGACATGTATTTTCTTCTCTCAGTGGAAAAGCTATAACTAGAAGCAAACCTCTCATTTGAAGGGACTTCTATCTGCTCCTAGGTGAGTTATCTAAGTGGAACAGTTGGTACCTCATGAGCTCTGACATTACTGCATTGACGCATCCAAGACATTCCTTCTTTTCTTCGGTGATGAATGGCATGGTTAACATGGTGTCAAAGCCTTCTAATCTTTCTCTGAAATGCTTAACTCACCAATAGAGGACCTCTGCTACCTCCTGGTTGATTTTGATCTCATTTTTAACTATGTGGACCTGTGGGCATCCTGCTCTGATCTCTACTAGCTAAACTTTTTAGGCTTAAGAGTATATTACCTGGGTGTCAAAGAGACTACTAACTGTCCACTATTCTCCCTTCCCCTTGGGCAAAGAGAAATATATATTTCCTATATCATGCAGATAGGTTAGCCAATGGAACATGAATGGAAGGAACATGTGCCACTCCCAGGTCTCGCCCATGCTTCATCATGTGCCTTCTCCTTCTGCCATCTGAATGCAGATAATGAGGAGGCACCAGATGGTAGAACTAGAAGTTGAAGGAGCCTAGGGCCCTGAATGGCTGCACGTAGAGGTGCTGGCCCTGCCAACCTGAGCAGCTGCCCTGGACTGTTTTATATATATTATATATATAAAACATATATATTATGTATCTATATATTTGTTACTGCAGCCTAATCTATACTAACTACTACATTGGCTTTTCATCTGAAACAAGGGACCTAATTTCTGATCCTTGAGAGTATATGTGTGGCTATGCACCTTAGAATCTTAAATAAATCCCTACTTCCCAAAATTACATTTCTTCTGGTGCAAAATTACCACTTTCCTCCTATCCCTATCCTAGCAATGATCCACCAGCCTCACTCTCATTCCTCCTGTTGCAGGTCATAGACTTCCTTCAGGCTTTCAGGCTGTGAAAATGAATGGGTGTTGTGATGATCTCACATGCTTCAAAACCCAGTGTAAAATTTGGTTTTAAAGTTAGGTTTACTTGGGGTTTTTTTGGTAAAATTTCTTTTTCTTTGCCTTAGTTTCACCTGAAATTGTGCATTCTTAATCAAAATCATTCAATTCCAAGGTGTGTGGTAGGCAGTGGTGTAGTGGGCTATGAGAGTTGATTCTTAAATTTTCAGGAACTTTGCAAACTGGTTGTTAAGCATAGCCATATGAAAAGTTAAATTATACAGAATTATAATTAAAAATTATGTTAAAAACAAGGGCAATAAATACTAAAAAATCAAATCACTTCCTAATTATTTTACTACATTTTATTATTTTGTCTTAAAGTTATTTACATTTTTGTATCTTTATGTTGGCAATACTATATAAAGATGTGCTACTGTGCATCTCTTCTCAACTCCATGTTTAATAATGTTATGTTGGTAGTTTGCTATTGGCTTTGGTGGGAGTATTTCATACCATGCAAATCAGTGAACTCCACAAATGACATAATTATTTTCTTTTTTTAAAGAACCTGTTTTTAAACATCTACTAGAATACCACAATCAACAATAAAAAATGTTGTACTCCAGAAATGGGGAAACCCTTCTTAAGCTGGAGCTTCCTACTTGAACTATGTAAGATAGAAATGCTCACTTGTTTAGTTTTAGTATATATAGCTCTTTCAGCTGGTAAATTATTTCAAAATGAAAGATATATTACTTGGAAGTAATTTTTTAAATAAACAAACAAAAAACAATTCAGCACATTGCTGTCCAAGACATAAAAGTAGGCTATAATCTCAAGAAGGTATAGCAGAAATATATATAAAAGACATGTGTAAATTAATGCATTAAATATTATCAGAAGAAAGAGTTCATTAGCATAGGGGGTTGGTAGGAGCAGTCCCCGTAGACAGCAAAGGAGAAAAGATAAAGAAGATTGTGGCCATAGATTTTCCCTGGCCAGTGTGGTGTCTTTATAAGGTGGAAAGGAGATCCTGAGGTCAGAGATAACAGGCAACAAGAAAACAAACAGTATAATTAAATAGTTCTGCCTTAGAAAAGGACAGAAATTTGTAAATGGAGAGACAGCAAAAAAGAAAGGAGGAAAGAAAGAGAAAATGGCCAATGAATAGGGCAGAGTGGAATATAAAAATTCAGTTTGAGGTAACCTGTCCTGTTCACTCCTCAGGTTCCCCATACCTTTGGCAAAAGGACACGTGAGTGGGGTCTTGTTCTTGTCTTATTTTTTTTTTTTCCAGATTCTGTGTGTGTATGTGTGTGTATGCATGTGTGTATTTTATTTTGATATAGTTTTAGATTTATAAAAGTGTTGTAAAGATAGAGTTCCTCTATACTCCACACTCAGTTTTTCCTATTACTAACATCTTACATTCATATGGTACATTTCATTCAATCAATGAACAAAGATTAATAAAATATTAACTAGGCTGGGCATGATGGCTGTGCCTGTAATCCCAGTGCTTTGGGAAGCTGAGCTGGGAGGATCGTTTAAGGATAGGAGTTTGAGACCAGCCTGGACAACATAGCAAGACTCCATCTCTACAAAAAATAAAAGAAAAATAGCTAAATGTGGTGGTGTGCC